ATGGATCTTTCCTTCCGTCTTTCCAGTTACGTCACAAGTTAATTGAGAAGGTGCTTTGACTGCCGTGACAAGTTAAGTAGAGGGAGCGGGACCATTGTCTTTCAAATCAGCTGTCAGTGTGTTTCTGCTGTCAGCAGTTTGACTCACTACCTGCTTGGTTAATCATCGAGCCGCTCCGAGCTGCAAGCTACTGGAGGTGTATGGCTCACCGTCACGGACCCACATCATCGCCACAACAGGACAACATCTGATTGACAGATTAGCAAGCGCTGGCGCTTTTTTAAAGAAAGACAGGGTGGGGGAAACAGGGTGGAGAGTAGTGATTGGAATTGAAGGAGGCGAGATGGAGGAAGTGTGAGGTCCAGGAGGGGGTGTATTTGTGTGGGTTGGTGGGATGGAGGTATGAAGGTTAGCGGGTCTTCCCTATTGTATGTGAGCTGAGGAATATAAAGATACAAGATGTGCTGCATGAGCTGAGAGTGTTTTTCAGGAAGCTGTGGAATGGGCAGGTGGAGTGTACTGATGTGAGCATGTTGTTTGTGTGCGTTTGTGTCAGCGAGAACTAAATAGGACAGATAAAAACATCAAGTGACATCGTTGACAGTGACATTTTTATTCCAACCAATCAAAGTGGAAACTGTATCTCCATCTGTTCTGAAGAAAATCAAAGCGTGTCCTAACGCCAGGCAGCGCTTCCCCTTTAGGGTATGCAGAATCAAGAGAGAGAAAGTGAGGAGACACTCTGAAAGACACCTATAGGATTCCTTTAAAAGTGAAATTGCCTCCCCTATTGGACATTAACGCTGCTACAACCAACATCCCCCCCCTCCAATAAGGTTATCCCCACTCTCATCCTCTCCCCCTCCTCTGATTCCCTCATGCACGCCCGCTGAGGTTTGATTTCAAATGGAAAAATTAATGGGAGAATAATAGCCCTGGGCCTCGCTCTCTTCCACACACATCTTAGTTGGTCTACAGGGGTACAGAGAGGGGTAGCGAGATTTACATCAATTCGCCTCACTTGGCCTGATATTCCATTGTGACACGCATCCACCAGGGATTTCGCCCACCCCGCCTTCTCTTGCACCTCAGAGGGCTTAACTTTCAAATATTAGCACAGTGGCGGTGCGGATTTCAAATAAATAAATAAATGAGGAAGCAATGATTAGCAATTCTCCAGATAGTTATGTCAATGTGTTTCATATTCATTTTCACTTCCAGGAGAATATTTCTGCAGAAACAGTGATTTTGAGAACTTTCCAAGCTTTAAGAGGGGCCACAGAAACCGGTGCGAGGAGTTTCTTCCACAGTGCAGCCACATACAAGCGAGGCACATATAGTAGCTTCAAGGGGAATTCAAAATACCTTGCTTACAGACCAAATAATTGTTCTTCCCTTCCAGTATATTCAATTTGATTTACAACAAGAAAAGTACACACGGTGCTTTGAAAGACAAGAGTGAAGACAAACTGTTTGTCCTGATAGTTCTGAGTACCTCTGGCATAACATTGGCAGTCGTCAGGTTTTAAAGGGCACAAAAATAGATGCACGCACGCACACAAGATGTGCAAGTTTCACTTCAGCTGATACAGGGCCAAGTTGGTTGCAGGCGTTATTAAATCAAAGTTAAGACTCGATGCTCTTAGGCTAAGCAACACAAGAACTGTGTGTGTGTCTGGCTGGGATAGGGGGTCGGTTATTAGGAGTTTAAAAGCGGAAGATGAGTTGGTGTAGAACCAGTATTGATGTCGGGGAAGCCCACTGGCGCTTTCTGTTCAAACATTTGAGAGGACCGACCTGCCGAGCTGCAGCGCCCGGGTGGCAGGATTCCCGCTCTTCCTGTTTCTCCTGACTTTGAGGAATTTTTCGGTGAACAAACTCCCAGTGCTCCGCTCACACGCCCCGCACCTCATCACAGATACCTGCCTCAGCAAAACTAGAGAGAAATAGACCAAGAAAGAGAACTTTCCAGGCATTTCAGGAGTTCCTGTCTCTTGTCACCCGGAAATGTATGGCACATAATGTTACGCAGCTATTTTTAAGATCACAGACGCAGTCACACTTTTTTTTCCCCGTTGGATCTTCCACTGAAAGCACCGGGTGATAGATGTGAGTCGGTCCTCCTGAATTCTCTCTGACTTACTCACCATTTTTCTTCTTTTGTCTGACCAAACATTTGGGCTAAATGCAGAGTCAGATGAGCGTGAAATAGCCTAAACCAGAAAAACTGACATCTTGGCATGTTTCAAGCAGATGGACAGGCAGGTAGGAGTCTTCCCCCCTTTTTTTTTAACATGTGGGATTCTGCTGGCTTTATCTGGGAGTCACTCAAAAGTGTGCAATATCAACAATATTACAAATCTGTTGACTGAACACGTGCTGTGCTCATCATGGCATCTTGGGAACAATGACAAGGTATCTATTGGAGGGCATGAACCTACAAATTTAGGGGACAGTGCCGCCTTCACAGGAGACTTATATAAGGTGAAAGAGGAGGTTTACAATGCATTGAAGGAAAACAAAAGGCTGGTGGAGAGGTGTCTTGGGTACGGTGATGGTACGATGCACTTCTAAAACAAGCCACCGTCCCCACGCCTCTCGCTGTGTGCCTTTGGGCACATGTAGCATTAATTGCTGCCTCTACAGAGCCTGCAGACTGCACATACCATCTACCGCTCGCATCAAAGAAACCGCACGCTGAACTTTATGAAATTTTTATTCAATGTGTTCACTTCTCTTCCTTTTTTCCCCTCTCTTTCTTCCTATTCCTATTCCCCACCTTGGCCCCCCTCTCGCTTTTAAGCTGCGCCACCAAACAAGACAAGAAAGACTTCTCCCTGCCATGTTTTTCGGCTCGACTTCCTTCCTGCCCAGAAGCACTCAAGTATCTCGTTAGTTCTCTCACAGCTAACATCACTCCTCTATCTGCCAGGAGCAAAAAAACTGATTGGGGAGGAGGGGGGGGGGAAATAAGGAGAAGAAAAGATAAGAACAGGGGGGGCGACATCAAGAAGTTTGGTGTGCGAGATTCTCTGCAGAGCTAAGGTGTTAAACCGTGATACCATTTAGCTACAGTAATTACAGATACAAAAAAAAGCAGAAGAGAGATGAGAGGGTTTTCTCTCCCTGTGGACAATGTACACCAAAGGGCCTAAGTTTCATCATGAACTTAGCAGATACACGAAAACACACATTGCAAGATCGTTGCTGGTATGACATGACACTGCCCTGATTTCTAACACATGAACAAAGGTTTGCAGAAAGCTTGCTTTATTTAATATATTCCACGATTAGTTCTTGTCACTATCGCACACCTTTCGCCTGATTATGACAACTGAGCAAATCCAGCTCCCGATGCACATCGGTTTCCTTTTAACTGCTGCCTCTCTCACACACACAAACGCACACTGTGTGGTCATCCATCAGCAGTGAGTGTTGTTTCTTCCCCCACACGTCTCATGCACACAGGTATAAATCACTGCGCCTGATTTCTGGGGCCAGGGTTTAAATAATTAAAGAGCTTTAATTTATCAGGATTTAGCACCCCCTGACAGTAGGGCTGACAAAAGAGAATGAGAGATATATTGAGAAAGAAAGAAAAAAAAAATAAAATCAGTATACATTAGAAACACATATAAAAGTATTACACATTTTACTGGAGAGAAAAAAAATGAACATCTAGGCCTAAGTGGAACCGAAGACTAGGTGAAAAGGCATTAAGGTTCTGCTCTAGAGCTACTTAATCTGCGTGTAAGAAGTTTTATTCACCGGTTGGTAGAAGACAAATGCAATGCAACTGTGTGAATATTTGTACTACTGTATGTGATTGATCTGAGACACTTACAAGCCATTGAAAAACAACATTGATGTCAAATAAAAGACACAATTCACATTTAAAAATTAAAATAAAACAAACAAACTAACAAAAAAAAAAAAACACCCAGTAAAAATTAGGCAAAGTCAAACTGAATCTTCTTTTAACTTCACATGCTGTCAGTTTTTGGAGGCATACAAATAAAAAAACAATAGATGTTTTTCCAGAACTTTTGAGGAGGTGAAGAAAAAAATATGAAAGCCGCAACAAACTGGAGTGTTTTTTTTTTTTTTTTTTTCCTTTTGTAAAGACCATCCAAGACACTGGGCATGAGAAACACACTACAGCAAGTTACATTTAATGTCTTAGGTCATGTCACTTCATCAACTGCCTACAAGTAAAGTTGTGGTGATTGTGTTGAAAATGTGACAAATAACCAAATTAAAACTTCAGTTTCTAAGTACCAGTGACAATTTTGTATTCTGCATTTGAGCAAAACTAAGCTGGACAACAACACACTTGAATAAAACACATTTATAGAGTGGAATCTATGTTGAATTATGTCTTGCAAGAACCAGGAGGCTGGTGAGGGCCAGCGGCTATTGTGGGTGGTCAGAGGAAGATAGAACTCTACTGCCCTCATGTGGCATTAAACATGCAAATAAACTGTCTCCAAAAAATAAAAAATAAAAAAAATCAGCAAACTGATGACCACGCTGATGTTCTCCTACTTGCATCTTACGATTTACTGGATGAACTATTAGCCCTATGAGTTTTGGAAGTCAGAAACAAGATCTACCAGCAGGCACAAAGACATAAGGGAGAAACATTACAATAAAGCAAACTGCCATCTCTGGCTTTGTTTGACCCTCATATTATTTATTCTTTCCAGTAGATCTCTGAAAACAGAATAAACTCATTCTCTCTCTCTCTCACATACACACTTCACCCAGAAACAGCATAAAAAAGACAGATCTGCTGAAACACTCTACTCTGAAATAAACAACAACAAAAAAAAAAACTCCTAAATCTCGATTTCTCTCTTGAGAGTAAACATGCAGATTCACTCTTAAGTTGAATATTATATATTATTGTTAACATTACTTGACGACTTCACTGAGTGAAGTTTGTCATTTTGCTGGCAATAGTTAGCCACCTAGTGGTCAAACCCTCTCATAACATCAAGTGTTGACAATGGGGAATTTTAATCACAACTTTGGAAGTGTTTGGCTATATGACACCATGTCATTAATGAACAAACAGCTTAACAAACATAGTTTAGTAGATATTCAACAAACTATCAAGTCTACAGACTCAGCTGGGGGGAAGATATTCACACCAGAAACACAGTATTACTCCTAAATCAAACGGTACAATATGTTTTGTTTTTAACCATATTGCATTTATTTTTTGAATAATAAACCTATAGATTCATAGTTACAATACCAGTTCCCTATGAAAATAATTACCCATAGTAATTCAGTACCACCATCCTCATGCTAGATGAATGACGATACAGTGTGTTGTTCTGTCTTTTTAAGACCATCTCCCCTTCACTTCACTGGATTCCTCCTCCTGGTGAATTGTTCTTCACACTTCAGTTGTCCAAAAGGGAGCGCTGTAAAGCCTCCTGAATCATTGTGTGCTCGTCTGTGGAGTAATCCTGCCACGTGTGAGGAGACAATAAGTCGATTAAATGAGTTGATTGATCATTTATTGACAGAACATCAGCAACAAAAGTGCTTTACTTTACTTACAACAAATGTATCATAGGAGAAAGTGTGTCTGATCTTCAGGTGCTGGAAAAAGTCTGCACTCCTGTAGTTAGGGTCCCCCCAAGGCATTGAGGCACAGATAGGACACACCTAAACAAAGTGGGAGTGATAAAACATTATAAACTTATTATTAACCATGGCTGAATCCAGAAAGTGTGTGGAATCTAAGAACAAGCGATGGAAGAACATCGCAGTGAGGATTTCGTACCACTTGGCGTGCATCTCGAGCATGTTGGGTAGTGCAATGCTCAACCAGGCCGTCCTGATCGAGGTTCTGGCAGTTGCAGTAGGGGCAGGTGAAGGTGTAACGATTTGGCACTGGACTGTGGGAACGAATCAGAAATAATATGTTACACTAATGATTTATTATACACATTTTTTTAACAAAGAGTTTTGTTTCTCTACTACGGAGTATTGTACTTTGGATGTAATAGAAACTAAGATGTTTGATATCTTTTTTTTTTAGGATGTAAGAGCAGTTATTATCTGAGATTGAATCTAAAATAATAGAAGTCTTTTTATGGTTTTAAAAGCTGCCTTTACAGCAGAGCAATACCATTTTCTGAATCAATCCAATTGGCTGAAAATCAACTACAAAGGCCACTTTCTGATTAGTCATCACATCCCTGTTACAGCTGACAGTTTCTCAAACTATCTCATTTGTAATTATCTCCAGAAAGTATAGCTGTCAGAAATATTTACCTTCTGAATATAAAGCGGTGCCACCTCTTACATCGCAAGAGTTTTGGCCATTTTGACTACAGGTAATCGTAACAGTCAAGGAATTCATCACTGTATACATTCGAGTGTATGCGCTCTACTGGAAATTTGTGATTCTGTGCAATTTTAATTTGCTTAACACAGAGGACACACCAATCTTCCACAACTCCAAAAGCTTATTTTGGGGTCTAAATGAAATCTTGTACTACAGAGCCACTTACTTATGGGTTTACCCTGCGCTTTCATTGATTTGAGTACAAAAGGAATGTGCGATATGATAAGACAACTGAGAAGTCATGCAGATGGTTTAACTTGAGTACATGAAGTCTTTGTTGGAAAAGAAACTGTTTAAAACTTACATTTCCTTGGCCACATCAGATTGTATCCACTGAACAACAATATACTGTCTTATACATATTCTACATAAAACAGTGGCAGGAAAATCTGAGCAAGAATCTTGCTTTAAGGTTCTTGGTCACAGTTTGTAAACTATTTTTCCCCCATTTAGTCCATTCTTTTATCCTGTTAACCTCCTAAAACTGTGTTAACTGTGATGCCGTGTCTGAAAGTACCCCCACTTCCTAAAAATTGCACAACAAAAATACAGCCCGCAGTATATAGCAGCCTCAAAAAGTCCCTTCTACTTTTGTCAAAGCAAATTAAATAAAATCTCACAATGCAATGTTACATTTTACGAAGATCTATTGATAGGCATCCGGAATGAAAACAGCCCTGTGATCAAAAAAAAAAAATGCAATGGTGTGTGTTTGTGGACGTGTGGTAATTAAGGCACCAGCGAGACATGGAATTTGATCCAGGAAGTAACAGATTTACTGGTACATAAGGGCCAATCAGACACCAAAACACTGCCAACAGTTTAGAATACCAGAACGCCACACAACTACGTTTTCATTCTGTAACGTATACCTTTGGTGCGTTTATGACGAGCTTCCACATTAGTCTGGTGGTTTAGGAAGCCTTAACTTTAGGAAATGCTGCAGACCCCCAGGATTCATTTAAGTCTGGAACGGCAAAAACTGTAACTTCTGGAAACAATGACACAGTCGCCCACATTTGCTTTCTGATTGGATCTTATCAGTCACTATGTGTCCTTCCTAGATTCATCACGTTCCAAAAAAGTGCTCCCAGTTCTGCTCAAATATGTTGCCATACTTGTTTTATAACAACTCCCGATCCGTTTTCTGCTGCAAGAACCGCCTTATTCTCCTGTGTTATCTTCACTAACAGTTCCACCTAATCATTGATCCAAGCAAATAAAATCTCTGGTCCTCCCTTTCCTCCTTGCAGTTCTTCCTCCACAGTATCTTTTACATTAAGCAACCAATCCTTTGCTTACTGTCTGTACTGGCACACGCATGGCTAGTGTACACGAACAGGCATATATGCGTTTTCAGATGTGTCTGTATGGACAAAGATGATTTCTGAAATGGTGCCAAAACTCTCATCTGGGCAGAAATCATTTTTATTTTAATACGCAGTGTAAAAATAGCAATGTATTAGTGGCCATGTAGCCTAAGACAGGATTTTACGACTCTGGAAAGTCATCACAGAAACAATTACTTTATTCTTTGTCACAATAAACTTTAGGTAAACTGCTGACATGTGACATTTTATGTTACAAGGAAATGTAAAAGAACTGTGAGTTTGAATGTATTTGCATGGCCAAGATAGTGTATTTTCCTTTTCACTTTCCTACCCAAGTTTGATCTGACAAATCTCACTTAACTGTGCACTACGGTGTCAAATAATCAAGCATTTATTGTGTAGGGGATAGTGAAAAAGTTGCCTCTTACCTGATGATGGCAGGCTGGCTCTGGGCAGTGGTCCTCACTCCCTCCTCAATGTACTCCTGGTATTTTGAACAGGCGGCAGTGTGGCTTCTCATCTGAGAAAGGCCAACCTTGTAAAACAAAACACACAACAGTAACTATCACTGCATGACAAGCATCATGTCATTGCTGTCCTGTGTTTGCAACTTGAAGTCTGCTACTGTGTGAATATAAAGATCGACATTCTGACTGAGTTAAAGATCAAGTTTGTGCATATGTTGTTGTTGCATCTTCAGCCTCCTGCATTGGAGTGATCTGTCTAAACCCTTGCATGTTTGCAAACGCAGTTCAGATGCTTTATTGTAGCTTTTACACATCAATAAAACATACCTGAACTCCACATCCCTTGCAAGCTGCCACAGATGACTGGATAAGGGCCTCTAGATCAGCAGCTTTAGTCCAGTGGCCCAGAGTGGCCCGACATACTGCACACACAGGCTTTTGTGGACGCAAACATTCCTGCAAACAACTCTGGCAGAACCTGCAAGAAAACGTGCGAAGGATTGAGATGACGATCAAGACAAGGAAGGAGACAAGTTTTAATTGTCAGTTTTAATTCAGTTCCTGGTTACCGGAAGGCGACTGTTTTACAAGCCTTATAACTATTTTTAGACTGACATTAAAATACACCGTCTGACAAAAGAGAACAAACGCTGTCATTCGCTGGAAGATTCCGCTGATGCTTCTCACAAGAGCTTCCTGTAAATCCGATGGAAAGTCCCCACCTCAGGAAGAAGCAGGGACTTGTAGTCCTGTACGGCGGTTTCATGTGTTGACGCAATAGAGATACAAACTACAACTCCCAAGTGAGGCCTCCTCTTTGATGTAAACAAAACTGAAACTGATTTAGCAAGCTGCAATTGGTTTTTGCCAGATATTCATGTGAATAAAACAGAATTACAGGGTCACAACACAAGCAGACACACACACGATCGGTGTTTTGCAACTGTGGTGCGGCGACATGTTTGAACTCGAGCCTTTTTCTCCATTGTTTTTACCTCGTATCAATGCATCGCTGGTGGCAGACGTGAGTTAAGGGGGAGGACGAGCGAAAATAAGGCAAAAATACTCACGTATGGCCGCATTGTGTTGTTACAGGACTCTCGAAGATTTCCAGACAAACTGGACAGACGAATTCTGACACGTCGCTGCTCCCGTCGGAGACGTTTTTCTTGTGCTGTGCTGCGCTTAACCCTCCGAGCATCGCCATTTCTTTTCTTCACTGAGTCAGTCCCCCACCAGCACCAACCGTTCCCGTGACGACGTCACCGGGTTCTGGTTCTTTTTTAAGCACGAGGGCGGAGTCACCCAACAAAGTAAAACCCACGATAACAACATGCATTATACGGCAGTTATTTTTTAGAATAAAGCTTTTCAGCATTATTAACTAGTAGTGACAATACAGCCATTGTTAATGCAAAGTATTCAGAGTTACAAGTGATATTTTTTCTCACCTATTTATCTGTCGATTCTCTCATTTAAATGTAATAAATACATCTTTTGTGCAGAAAATTTCAAAGTTAAAACTTTAAGGATCTTGTTTTGCCTTGCAGCCGCACAGGTATTGACAATGACATACACTAGAGAAAAAAGTGTCTAATAATGTCCTAATATTTTCTGTGACAAACTGCACACATTTCTGTTTTCCGAAAAATGCAACAAAGCAAATGTAGCGTAAGTGACACACAAACAACATCTTGGCGGTGATGTTTATTAGTTGGGGTCTCTGCATCCCTTCTTCCTTAGCACGTGGGCCCTGATGCTGATGAACTGTCAGGACAGAGCGCATGCGTGTTGCGATGATGGGAATTTCCAACAGCTGAGGAGGCGTAGCTAGCCGTGGCTAGCACTTGTTAAAGGTAAGATGTGCGGGTGGTGGTGATTTTGTTTAGAAAACGGGCGCGATCTCTTAGCAGAAGCATTGTAACAATCGGTCGTACAAGAGGCATGGCGTTTATATACAGATATTTGACTCTAAATCAGCGAAAGATCTGTATGTAGCGATGGAACGCCCTGCTAGCTAACAGCATTTAGTAGCTAGCCAGCTGCGCTGAAATGGGCGTTCACTGCTTAGCTTATACTCAGTTGGGGGCCCATGCCAGTGACAGCATCGGGTTTGACGGGTTTGAGAGTCATGAAGAATTAATATACAAGCTGGCTGAGTGTTTCTCTTTGCCGCCACTGGTCGCGGCGAGCTGATTTTGTTTTAGTTGATGCGCAATAGTAAGGCATGGTGATGCTGATGGCTGTTGCTTGCTAGCTCGCTTAACGGATGTTCGCTAAGGTTGTAGGGGATCTGGGATCTGGGATAGCCAGCCAGCTTGCCTAAAAACGTGGAGCAGCTTTCTTCCTGTGCCGTGGTTCTAGCCTCACAGCATATTTTAGTCGTACGAGTTTGCAGATGTCTATTTTGCGTTTTGAGTTGTGGCTAACTGAAGCTAGGTGCACGCTACTATGGTTTACAGGCATGCAGTGCCGATAGCTCACATATTTATTGGCGCAAAACACAAACGCAAGACAAAAGGGACGTGTCTGTCAGCAGTGAGTCTCAATCCTGTTTGTATACACACTCATGGCCCTAGGCATGTATTGGTTGCATACTTCATGATAATAATCAAGTCCAGCTTCTCAGCTGTAATAACCCATACGATGCATCTTCTCATCATCCCACTCACAGTACAGCTACTGTCTCAGAATAGTGATGCCTGTGCACCTTCTCTCTTATCTGGCCTATCAGCTTTTCAAACCCCTCTCCGTGATGGATACAAATACAAAGCATTTTGGACCATATAATCACAGAGTTAGTGGAAATAAATGAATTTCCTTCTTTGTCTGTGCATCATAATCACAGATTCTTGTTTTTATGATGCTCTCTTTTGTCATTACAGCTTGGCGATGGCTGAGAAGAATCACACCATCATGAATGTGTCTTCTACATGAGTGACCTTGAACTCTACGCATGCTGAAACCAAGGGAATAAATACGACTCTGCATTAACAGAGCGTGAAGCAAAAGTTCCTCCTGACTTCATCTTGCATGACATAGGCCTGTTTGTCTGGAAACAAGTTGGGCTTTGAGCCAATGCCAGAGATGCCCGTGCAAAGGCATCCCGACAGGCTTCAGCCTAGCTACGCCAACTGAAAGCACCAGACAACTGCATCTCTTGTTTGAAGGATGTGCTGCTGAGTGGATGCAAAGTCTCACTCCTCTTCCACCTCTCCAAAACATTAACATTGAGTGTGTGCCAGTGTGTACAGTGAATTATGGTGACCAAAAATGGTGCTTGAATGTGGCGTCCTGGTGCAAGGTATGCTAAAAGGGACGAGGCTCTTTCAGAAAAGTATAACAGCTGACTAACAGTCTGCTGCCGAAAATGGATGCCAAGTTAAAAGAGGACCTGTTTCGGAGGTATGTGACGGCACTGGAGAGACGTCTGGAGGAGGGAGGGGAATACATGGGGACTGGAACTACACCAGAGGTGGACAAAAGCAGACACAAGGACAGTGAGGCCCTACTCTCCACAGCCACAGCCCTGCTTGGAGCCTACCAGCCAGATCCGGGACAACGGTTCCGTATGGTGCGTTTCTATGAGGTGGTGGAGAACTCGCTCCGCTGTCAGAGAGGGGGCAGCCTCAAGAGCCTGGAGAGAGCATTCCACACCCTGGAAACCATCTGCACCAACCTCTTGCTCTTCCCCTGGAAGAAGGAGTTCAGATGTATTAAGGTGAGTTTAGTTTAATCACAGGCTTGTAATATTACTCGTGCTTAAAGGTGAGTTTAAACCTGACAAAAAGTAATATTTAATTTTTGTTACACTGGGTATAATAGAATTAGTCACCCACTGTCAATATTCCTCTCAGAGAATTTCAATAACTTCCCAGTGGACCAACAACAAAGACACACAGGTTGTACCTCTGTGAGTTCTCACTCCAAAGGTTGGCCAGAGATAATTCGTGTTTTCCAGGATAGCTGTTCCAGGCAGTATACATTTACATGTGAGTTATCAGTGGCAAATCTTTCATCGCCTTCATGTGGAAACAAGATGTGTTTTTCACATCTCCGCTTAGTTCACATGCTCTGATGTCATAGCTGGTTACAAGACTGTGCTGATCTTTGAACACTGAGGTGTGTAGAGGCATTGCACGATCTTCAGAGGTTCATGGTGATTATGTTTGCGCAACAATCTTTTTCTTGAACTGTAATACCAGCTCTTTATCACCATAGTTGATCAGTTATCTAACGTCTGCTGTAACAAATGCAGTAACATGACTAACCAGGATGGCCAACTGACTAATTAATTACAATATACTCATATTAAAGTGTGCAATAGTTAGCATACACAAATACTCCTCATGTTTTTCCTTATATTTTTTGTCTAACAGTTTAGTGTGTTACAAGTATTTATTGTCTAATTAAAACACTTTGTGTATGTAAACTAAAGGGCAGAAAAAAGAAACACATTTGAAACTTGCTATGTCTCTTAAATTGCTCAACATATAAAAAAAAAACAATAACTGGAAACAACTTAATATTTCCAATCCTCTTGAAAGTTTGTTTACATCTGTCATTTTAGTAAACACAAAGTTGAAAAAGAGATATGTTGTCAATTATGATCAATGATGAAACAAAACATGTTTTTCTTCCAGTGTAAAACCAGTTATCATATTTAGTTATTAATTATGTATTGAAATGTACCTCAAATGATGATTTGATCTACTTCAAAGAGATGATGATTCAAGTTTTAAAGTTATTTTGCAGTTTGTAGTTTTGTGCAGGTGTTGATCTGTATTCTGTCAAACAAAGTGATGTATCTAACATGTTCTCATGTGGTTCTAATAATGGTTGACCAAATATCGCTGTAATATCGCAGAAGTAACATGAGGTCAATTTTATTTTAGATTTCAGCTTTGTCATGTCAACCCATTTTAAATGACAGACACTCATGCTGATTAACCCAATTCTCTTTTAGACCTTCACTGGCCCATATGTGTACCATCTGCAGTCTGCCATTTCTGATGCTGAACTCCGGTCTCTAATGCGCACCATTGGCTACGCCTGTGACCATGATTCGCAGTTCCATTTGCAGGATCACCCAGGAGGCGTAAATCATCTCCGCCAGTTGGCATTTGAGCTCTTCCTGGCCCAGGCAGAGTGTCGTCTTCTGGGAGAGGTAGTGGCTCTGGCCCGTGGTTCAGCTTCAGAGCTGGAAGCCCTGGAACTCCGCAGAGGTTGCAGAGATGATGCAGCTGGCTGTGCCGAGGCACTGCGCAGACGCGACAGCCTTGGGGCAGATATGGCTAGGCTGTCTGTGCGGCCGCTGGATATAGAGAGGCCTCATGCTCACCACCTGAGGCGAGGTAGCCGACCGTCTAAGTCTGTGGATGTTACAGATGGGGCTGGTCACTGGCACGCAGCGGTTAGCAAGCCCGTGTTGAAGGCCTCATTGAGTCTAAGGAAGGAACCTCTGTTTGTGGATACAGAGGAGGATATGAAGGATGAGATTATCAGGCCCAGCACCTCAGCATCTCTTTTCTCTGTGGCAGCTCCACCTTCCTATAGCCCTGTTGCAGATTTTTTCCCAATTCAGTCACCTCCCCCGGCCGATCCCTACACATCTTACCATCTGTCTTCTTTGGATGAGATTGACTTGTACACAGAGAGGGGTGGAACGGGAGGAAGGCAAACTCCATCTCGACCTCCATCCAGAGAGCCTCGAGATGCAAGGGATGGGTGGCTGCTCAAAGCTCACGGTAGTGTGAAGTGCCAGGGCTGTGGACTGGGCTGCTCCACAATGGCCTCCTGCCAGAGGTGTGACATGATCCTCTGTGCTGCCTGTCATGATGTGGACCCCTCCCCTTGCTGTGGCCTCCAGGACTACCACCCCAAATCTCCACGGCCCCTTGATGGATACATTCCCGTCAAGGAAAAGCTCTCTGTCTACTCAAACACTCATTCCCACTCCCATCTCCATCCGCACCCCCTCACACTAACCCACTCTCATTCTCATCCCCACCCTCACCCCCAGATGGTGGAGAAACCCCTCATGTCCACTAAGCTGTTTCCAAGCAAATCTGTTGCCTTGACAACACCAAAGGGAGGCAGCAGTGAGCGACTAAGCATGGGGGGATCGCGATGCGGGTTTTGCAACAAGCCAGGTGCATCACACACTTGTGTGAACTGCTCGAAGGTGTCATGTGACTCGTGCATGGGCTTGTATGCAAAGGATATGTGCACGCGAAAGAATCCTCAGCACAGCTTTGTGCCCAACCATCAGCTCAACTTCAAATCTGGCACCATATCTCACCTGGTGTACCGATGAATCAGGCAGACAGAATATATATATATATTTTTTCTCCCTCCCAGTCCCCTCCCTTAACCCGCAATGTAGTCTTGCACTATTGCTTTAGCTTCCTTCCTGCTTAAACAGTTCATTCACTATCTTCCCCTGTATCTGATGGTCTTTTCTCTAACCCCCTCTTGAACTTTGTACATTTTCTCTTACTGTCAGTAGGGCCGTGGAATGCACATGCCACAGAGAGCCATATCGTCTGCCCATCTCTCTGCCTTGTATAAGTTCAGGCCTTTTATCTATTTCTTCTTCCTTTTACCTTGCTACCTGCTCTTGAGTAGTCATGTGATGTTGTAGCGCTTCCCAAATTCCTCAAATTTTGCCCTCCTCAAAAGGGAAACTGGAGAAAAGAGAGTTAAATTCTCATTTTTTGAATGAATTCCGTCCAAATGAACATTATACTTTGCCTAACTTCTCAGCTAAAAATTCCTCTAATATATAAATATAAATATAAATATATATATATAGTATATATATATGTGTGAGTGAGAATGTATGTGTGTGTGTGTGCGTGTGTGTGCGTGTGGAAAAGACCTCTGAGCTTGCATTGTGATAAAGGAGATCTTTTTAAACTTGAAAAAATGTAGGGAAAAAGAGAAAACATACACTGGAAGTCAATAAGTCAATAGTATATATTTTTAATCTCTATTCTCTAGAACAATGTGAGACTGTTAAATGGGCATGAGGTCTGGCATTGGGATTTTTTGGGGTTTCAACTTCTGTATGTGGGTGCGGGGTGGGAGATATCTCAAAGGGACATATTGAGACAATGGTCAGATGCCATATATTCTATTTAAAAGATTATGCCTTGTAAATTAACCCTCAATTGTTTCTGGTTACACGACTGAGATTTAAATGCTGCTGTTGACTTGAGACATTGAAGATGTGTGGCGTTGATTTCTTACTGGTGGTTGTGTCAGCTCCAAGCCCCCCTCCCCTCCCCCTCCCATCCCCCCTGTCCATTACACTCCTTAAGCCCTCATGGTTCATGATGTTGTAGTGCCCCCTCACCAGATCAGTGGTTCAGTGTCAGTCTCAGGTGGGGTCACAGGAAGTCTCACGCTGGGCCACGAATCAAGTGATCACGGTTCTTAGACAATGTGTGAGCCTACTGATTGGTTTTAGGCAGTATGAAAGAATATACTCTAACATGGTTTCTGTCTACCTCAAATGGCTTCAGCTTATACACCCAATTTGACTTTGTGGTTTCAAACTAGCCCTGAAAACCTAAGAATTGCTGTATATTTATTACATGATTTCTTCTGTAATTTGCAAACTTTTTTTTGTTTTAGCAGGAAAACATTCACTCTTACAATCAAGTGAGTCAGTCACTTTTAGAGGTTAGCGAACGTTATTTATTTTTGTGAGATAATCCTGGGCTTTCTTTGTGTGAACAACAATTACAAAGCTGTCTCATCGTGCAGCTGGTTACGGTTTGTGTCTGCACAGGTGACGGAGAAGAAAAACGTCAACTATAATGCAATTTAGTACAATAGCAGCGCATCAAATACTTGTGAGGCTTAATCTGTCAGCAGGATAATTTTGAACCTGCATTTTGCGACAGTGTCCTGAATTGCATTGTACTGTAATTTGTCTCTTTTTGTCCGATTGGCAAAATATCGCAGCCAAAGAAACCACACGATATGTTGCAGGCCAGTATAACACTACCACAGATTCAGAGCTGAACAGTCTTTCTTACACAGTAAAGACGTAACAGTTGCAGCTTTGCGAACAAACTATTTATCTATTAAACTATATTTTGCAGGGATTTCTGTGAAGTCCATCTTTCTCAGCTACTTATGTGTTCACATTTTAAAAAGCCCCTTCTGTCCTATGTTGGAAACTAATGAATTCATTTATTAGTAAACTTCAAAAGGCCTTTTTTTTTCTCATCACAATATTCTGCCTACATTTAAAACCAAGAGTCAGAAATTTAGTGGGCAGCTTTAGCGTTCAGACTTTCTTTCTCCATGCAAGGGGAGAATTTTTTGTATATCGCAGTTGGTCGTCACAAAGGGCTAATTTAAAATCACATTTCATTGAACAAAAAAAAAAGTCTGAGTCAGGGTTATTTTGACAGACTACTTAGGCTGCTGTAGCCTTTATTTTCTGTCAGGAATAACCTCTAAATGCCTTAAGCTCATTCAGCTGTCTTATCCTACAGTATTTAAGTTTCTGATGTAGTCATTTACTCTGCTTTGTGGTTTACCAGCCTATAGGTTAAACATTTTACATGTTTACCAGACTACACAAACTTAAAGCAGTTCTGTGATAGCTAAGGAAAGACTTCAGAGTAATCTAAAAGTACACATAAGCTTATGGGTAGGTTTGTTTTTTTTTTTTCAAACAGAGCATACCTACCATGTGTATTTACAGAATTATGCAGCAATTCAAACATTGTACACCTATATAAGGGTTACTGTCTGTAGTAATAACCATGATTTGCTTAGAAGTCAAATTTGGTATCTATTTTTGTTTGCTGACAGATAAACACACATAGGTTTCAGGAAACTTCTTTTCATTCCTTCCCTTCAAACCTGAAATTTGTGTTTTGTGTCTTCATGTGTATTAATCGAAACATAAAGAAGGGATGTTTTGATTCCAGTTGGATGTAGTTTAAAGCTTCTTTGAGAAGATGTTCTTGAGTCAGCATTAGCTTACTTGGGTATCAAAAATGTTCTGAGTGACCTTAGGGGAGGTGTGCAATTTTTTCTGTTTCCATCTGATGAAGCCTTTTTTTCTTTTTTTTTTTAAGATAGTTTGAATATTTATCATAGATATATTTCAGTTTCTCATCTCTGTATGTAAATCATACCAGCAACAAAGACAACTTTCAGAAGTATTGAGCCATGTTGCAAGAGTGATCATATTGCCAAATGAAGAACAAATATCTTACTGGAGTAGAAAACGAAATCCTGTGGCTTGCCTGGATGTACAGTTAATGTAACATAAATCTGTGATTTTGCTAAAGTTTAACTTTGTGTCTGTAGATGTTGGCCTTTTTAAGAAGCCCAGAAAGAAAATCATCAACATAGATACCTACTCACACACCATGGGATGTGAATTTGACTTGAAACAGTGGACTGATAACTTGTGTAGGTCACTACAAAGGGCTAAACAGTCTTCAGGGCTGCTGCTAAGTTTGTGGGCACTGTTTTAGTGAGAAACTGACTTGTCATAGATAAATATCTAATGTGGAGATTACATTCATCAGTGGATATGAATTACTGATGCTGGGGAAGACAAGCATAATGGAATACATCGAGCCATTTTAACATGATTGGTTTAACCCACGCCGGACACACTCAAGTCATTGTGGAAGTCAATACTCCCTTTACCTCTTTGTGTGTTTATCTTACTGATATTAACAGTGGTGGTGTAGTTAGGCAGCCTCTTTACCATTCCCTGTTTCCCCTAACCTTTTTCTTGGCATGCTCTGTACAAGGACCATACCCATATCCCCCCTCCTGACCCTCCCACCCCCACCCACCTTGGCACTGAGGATCATTGCACAATGTGTATGTGAAGGGGTATGGACCTTACGATCAATATGTGGGCATACATGGGGTGGAAAGGGAAAATAGCCAAAATTGTTAATTGGTGAATATATATGAGATGAAGAGAAATGAAATGAAACAAAACGTAAATGAGATTTTATAAAATAATTTCAAGAATAAAATTCTGAAAAAACAAAGTGTCGTGCCTTGAGTTTGATTGAAAGTGGGTTTGTGGCCTTATTGAACTGTCAAATGCAACATGTGCCGAGAATTTCTTGTCTGTTTTTGAACCACAGTGGATCGTTTTTTTTTCTTCTTTGTTTTGTTTTGTTTTTGTCATCTATTAAATGGACTCTTTTACTTATGGAAGCAGTCTGTTGGAAAGGTGTGTAAGCATGGTGTGTCCCAGCGCTGTTTCGTTCAGCACTGTTGTCCACATGACGTCTCCACTCAGTTCACAGACCGACAGTAAATGTTAAGGGTAGTGAAAAGCATTTTTGTTCAACTCTCATCTCATTTTGTGTTTGTTTTTGTCCAAGCAGTTGGTTGCTTAATTCTGCATGGGTTGACATTTCCCTATATGACCAGTAGATGGCGGTAAATACTTAAAAGTAGAGTGAATAAGATTACACCAAATTTCCAGTCCTTTGGAAATTAATTTATGTGACTCAGTGAGACTTTATTAGATTCAAAACCTTTACTTGGTCTCCATGAGGACTGTATCAGTAATAATTAATATTATGATAACATGAGGTGCTTTTAAATGACAGGGTTGAGTGTATGCACATATGAAAAGCAGCCAGTATTCACTGTATTTACCACTTTTCCCCCCTCATCTGACACCAAACTGGACAAGCAGACAAAGGCAACCACAGAGTAAACAGACAAACTTCAAGTGATGTCTTTCCTCTGCATGCCATTCCCGTCTTTGTGACACCGGCTGTTGCATGGCATAGTGCACCAAAATAGATCAGGGTCAAAATACATTTTCTGAACGCTAGACAAGGCAGAGCAAGTCGGCTTCGAGGGGATACACTTTCATATACATTACAGTACTGTCAGACATAACAAGATACAAGCCAATAACGGCCAGGACAGTCATTATGCCTGTCATATTTTCTTTTACTGCTATGAAAAGAGGACGGATGTCTGCACAGACTTTGAATTTCCCTGTAATAAAACAAGGCCACTTGTGTAGCTGAAAGAAAAAAACACTAGGTTTGTGCTAATGTATTTGTTTCAGTATTCGTATGTTTGGTTTAAGACGAGTACAGCCTAAAAAAAACCAAACAAACACACTTTGCAGATATAGTTTGCCTTGAAAACAAATAAGACAAAGCTTATCTGACATGCAAGGCTTTTAGTGTTAGAGCAACATCTGCAACAAATCTCAGAGGATGTAAAAAACATGCTCACTGAATGCGAGTTTTCATGTGACCTCGACTTAAAGTCGTCCATTTGACAAACTTGATGCTATTCTTGTGGCACACAGCGAGAGTTTTGATTGTGCATCTTTGGTTGCAGCCTGTTGTTTTCTTTATTTCTCATAAGAATGTCAGACAATAGAGTTCACAAGTTGAAAAGTGGATTCCCCATTTGTACCAATAGAAGATCAGATAGAAGTCATTTTCCATGTGCTGTGCCTCATTGACTATACGGGGGGAACATTTTAAAGATGGACACCTCCTTAGGATAAACTTGCCGATGTTTGTTTTGGCTCACAGTGCTTTAACAAATGAGAACAGGAGTCTGACGCACACAGCAAATGGCCATACTGGGTATAATAACTGGATCAGTTTCTGGTCCAGTGCCTGCCTCCGACAAGCTAATGTTAGGTACAGAATAGCTGCGGCTGAGATTATCTGCAGCAGGGCGATAGTGGGGAGGGACATCAGCGAGACCTCTGCAGTGACTGAAATGCTGAGTGAGTGCCCGTCCATGCTTCCTGCATCAACCCCTCCTCTGGGACATGTCAGAACTGTGCTGACTAACAGCCTTTAACTGCCTTGAGGGGACCCAAGACATACCGAGTAAAGAACATTACTGTTCAGCAGGACAGGAAGATCACGACCGATGGCACTGCTTTCCCTTTGAATTCTCTGCCAGCGTTAAGTGGCATTAATACAATCTCAGGATTGTATATGACTTTAAATTGCAGTAGACGTGCCATATATTTAAGAACTATCTATGTCAGATAACACTTGCCACTGACAGAGACATGAAGTTGCTGAATACAAGATACTTCTGGTTATTAATAGTGTAACAGGTGGCTAACAAGCAGCTAAATCCACACCTGAACATAGATGAGACATATTAAGATTCAATCAGGAACAAGAGCTGCATGATGCGTTTCCACAGATACATGCAAGTAGGAGAGTAATTTGCATTTTAACACTAGTTAATTCATTTATTGGCCCTTCTTCCTGTTTTCACATTACTGTGTTGATTTCTACTAATTGAAAAAAAAGCATAATTTCTTTCATTATAGCCTGTGTTTTCAGCTTTTTAATATTATATATTTATGCAATATATCCAGGGGTTCAGTTGGGACAGGGCAGGGTTTGGGCGTCTCCATCAGTGTCCCAGCACCATGCACACATCTCTAGAAGTCTGCTTCATTCTCTGTCTCGCGCTGAACAAACAGCAAGTCGGCTATTTTTCTTTGACTTTATGCAACAGCTGAAGCATCACACAGCAGACAGTCATACTGACTCCAAATTGAGAGAGGGGCTGAGTGCGATTTAGATAAGTGGCACAGCAGCAGTAACTTAAGTAATTAACTCAATCTTCTGAGTGTCATTGTGATCTTAGTAGCCAACCTAAATGCTTTCCTGCGCAGCAGACAGCTGAGCTGTTGTGCACGGATTCACAGCTGCTGCAGTGAAATCATTATGAACAAGGCAGTCGTACTGAAGATAAATCCAGCACCATCAAAGCTGTTGCTACATTGTCATCTGTTTTGTTTTTATAGTTTTCTTGGAAAATCACCGTATGTTCTTTATGGCGTGACTGCAGGAGTTATGAGTGTTGCTGCTGAAATTATATTTGCATGAGTGGCATTACTACAAGTGCAATATGTGCAGTCACATAAAATGTACAACAACAGACTGTCAGCCTAATAACAACTGTTTTTAATGCTGAGCATATGAATCACTTGGGTCAGCATGGCAAGAATGTGCCTTCACTCACTAAAAGGTACAGAAAATAAAAAAGAAGAGAACGCTGTGGCTTCTTCTTTGCTTTATTTAGCTTTCAAAAACATTCAGTTTAAGACATGTGCCTCTGATTTAAGAGTATAATCGAGATCATTGGAATTTAGAATGTGCTACAAAATTAAAAAGTGAAAATTCAGCCGCTATTTTTCTGTCACAAACTATGCTATTGTTACGCTTGACATTCACATCAGCACAATGTGTGACTTGAACAGATACTTTGTGCAGTACGATCTGTGACTCCCAACCTCAAAATTTATCCCCTCGATCCCAAGTCAACCCCAAGATATTCACTTTTATTTCTGACACTTGAATATCTAGTTCCACACATTCACCATCTGACACATCCAATACAGACTGTAAAACGACTGGACTTTCTGTAATAGCAAACACATGTTGAAGGAGTTGGATCAATTTCTAGTTGCTTGGTCACAGCAAGTAGATGCAAGTTGAGGCTGCTTTTAAAGGGAATGAGTCACATCTCAGGCCCTCGAGAAGGCCATTCAGAGACTAGGAGAATGAAAACTTAAGGCAGGTTGCTACACTTTGAATAGACCCTCAGTACAACAAACAGACAAGTGCAGGACAATCAGAAAGGTCTCGGTGACTCACAGCTTTTAAACATTGCTGTCATGAATTGGGCAGTGAGGCCATCCTGTGCTTTATAAACAAGCAAAAGAAAAAGTCAAATGTTGCACAGGAAGCAACGATTTGAGCACAGGTGCAATAAGGCTTTCTTTTCTCTGTCCATGTCCAGACCCTAAATGCACTGAAGCTAAGCCGAGCTAAGCAGGTCATCGCAGCGGTGTGTTCTGCACATCACAAAAGGATGTCCAAGCGTCTCCAGGTCTGGTTTGGATTAAATGTCTGTGAAAAACAGGGGTCAGCTTCAAGAGTGACACAGAGACTCCTCACTTTATATGAGAGCAAGGCTTTAAAGTGAAGCTTCATTTCCAGGAGTTCACACAGGCACAGGAGACTGAGCCCTGCTTGGAAATAGAACGGCATGTACAAAAAAATCCAAGAAGAATTCCTTATTGTAGTAACTGTAATGGGCTTTCTCATATTTTCTAAATATTTACCCAAATTGTTTGGATGACGTTCATGCTCATCCAAAAGGTGCCACTTCTTAGTGTTTTTTTTCTTTCTGTTCTTTTTAAACAGTTCGAGAAACTTAACTTGTGGTGAACACAAAGAAGTGAATGGAAGTTCTGAGAAAGGTGATTCTTGACGTCAGTCCCTTTGTTAAGTGAACCCATGTCGACTCTGTTGTTAAGATAACTGACTTACAAACCTTGGCCTTTGTTAATGACTTGTGACTGAAGCATTAGGATGAAAAAGAGCGTTTTCACTTTTTCTGTTCCCACTCTCCTTTTACTTCCAAGTGCACTGTCCTTTAGAAGATCTGAGAAAGTGAGTCAGCCTTGAGGTTTTTCTTGGCGGCATCTTCAGCCACTGCAGTTTCGAAGTACGTTTAACAATTATAAACCAGCCAAGGGCGATTGTTAGCTTGAAAAAAAAGGGTCAGCACGTTAGCCACTCTACAGTAAGGAATCAGTTTTCTGATAGAAATGCTCCTCTGTTGTGACGGAGTGAACAGCAGCGAGTTGCATTGGGAAGGATCCAGTGTTGTGCACGGAGCGAACAGCATGGAAACACTTCTACTGATGCCATTTGAATTTAAGCAGCTTTCCCTCTTTCACCTCAAATGCATAGACACGTCAACATGAACCAATTAGATTCAAGGTTTATCATTCATGTGCTACTGTGACGCTGTGAGGTGTTCAATGACTTTACATAAGTAATTATTCTTTCTCTTAAAATCGAGTTTTTTCATGCAAATACCAGACACTCACAAAGGACTAAGAAATAAATATTAATTAAATTAAACAGTGTGTGTGAGTGTGTGAGAGAGAGATGATTGCTTTCTTTCATTCAGATTCAATTCCAGCATAAATGAACCATTTTTTAAAAAAGAA